CTACCTCATACATACTATCTAATTATTCAGTCTTTCCTTTTCGACAGGTTTTTCTCTGTCCGACAGGGTTTAGAAATTTCCTCAATTCGACCGGTGTCAGCAGGGGTACATCAAGGATCAATATTGGCTCCTTTACTATACATTACTATATGCATGACATGTCTACCACCTCCGAAACATTGATTGCTACTTACACTGACGATACAACAATTTTAACAAAACACCATAACCCCAGACTAGCCTCACTGAATTTACAAAATCACTTACTAAATTTACAAAATTGGTATTCACTTTGAAAATTAGATTAAATCATGACAAATCACAATATATAACATTTACACTCCGACGAGACACATGCCCACCAATTTATATCGGCGACAACCAAATTCCTCAGACGGACACTGTACGTTATCTCGGACTAGTATTCGACAGAAGGATGACCTTGGCCCACATATCAAAATGAAACGGAAGACTTTGAACAAACGACTGAAAATACTGTGCTCTCCTTTTTCCAAATTAAAATTGAAAATCAGACAAAAACTAAATACGTACACTTACCTACTCAAACCCATATGGACATATGCCTCACAAATTTACGGTTCTGCAAAAAAGACGCATTTACGAAAACTACAATCATTTCAATCCAAAATTTTAAGACTAATAATAGCAGCTCCCTGGTACATAAACAACAAAACTTTACATACTGACTTAGAACAACCAACTGTCGACCAACACATATGTAATCTCTACTTCCGATTTCATCTTAAACTACATGGACACCACAACGAAACGACTAGAGGAGCTGGATGAGAGATTTCCTTTCCTAAATTATGAAGACCAAGACCAGAAGAGGTACTGCTAGGTACTAATCTTCCTCGTGCTTTAAATACCAATTTTCTATAAAATGAGATCACATCTGCTTATTGTCAATACTATGACAGGTGTGGATAGAAGTATGAAGAGAGAAAAAAAAATTTATTGAAAACTACACGAAATCCAAGTAACGGCTGTAAGTGTCATGCCATCAACGTTTGGAAACTACGAAACAATACATTATAAATTAATTCATTGAATAAAAACTAAAATTTTATAACCCATACAAATATTGTTTTAACCTAAGTTCCACTCCATATGTTCAGTGCCTTTCACATTTCACTGCCATTATATTGTTATCAATTATCTATATTAATTTTAATTATTAAACGAAATTCAATGAAATTGATGCCAGATAATTTCTATACTATATTCTCCAAAATTCCTCCAAGTTTGGATCAAATTGAACACCCAATTTTCATACTATAGGCTTTTCAAATAATACGTTTACTGATCCGAAAGCAAAAGTATTTTTTTTAGGAGTAGTGGATATAATTTGATAAAATCTTTGATAAAACTTCCCTCCACATCGAACATGCGGTTTTAGATATATAGACGTATAAAGGAAAACACGTTTGCTCATATATAAGAGAAATTAGTGGACAGAATTCAATTAAATTGACATTACGTTATTTTTTCACTATTGCCAACCTTTTATCTAACTTTGAGCCAAATCGAACGTGCCCTTTCTGAAATATTGGCATATCTAAAAAAATACGTTTGCGCGTGCGTAAGCGGAAGTGCTGGATGGAATTTGAAAAAAAATATATGGGACCATCTAGGCACTAACCCGCATAATTCCTGAAAATTCCATATGTGGATGAAAGGTACTGGGTGATGTGCCCGTCACATCGATTTGACTAGAGACAGACAGACACCGAACCAAACTTGATCCTTGATGTCTGAAACGTAAAACGCGAGTGGAAATTTTCTATTGTGAGCACAAAATTTTTTTTAACCTCGCACGAACACAATGCTCCCTACCTTCGGTAGTGAGGAAACAAAATGATATCGAATTTTTGAGCATTTGGTTTAAAATATCTCAAAATATACTGTAAATGAGGGAACTTTTCAGCATTTCATCCTCTTTATAATGAGGTATAATTCAAAATTGTAATTGAAGGTATTGGGTTTTTTTTTTCTTTTCGTTTAATGATAAATAGATTAGTTACCTAAGATATTTCACTAATCGAATCGGCAAATTATTAATTTTAACGTTAGAAGAGCCATCCGAATCTGATCGCGGAATAATGTTTGAATCACAGAAAAAAATGTTCGATATTATTATTATCACTCACATTTTGTATGTTTGGTGCGATTTGTCTTTATATTCATAAATATATAATCCAAACGGTCTGAGGAAGCGTCACTGCGTGAAAAAGAAATTCTTATTCATATTTTCAAGTCCACAATTCTAATTTGAAAAAGCACTAAAATAAATGGAAACAAAAATATGAGTGTAGATAAGAACGAGCGCCTATTTGAAATGAAATTATTATTGTCTGTAAAATAAATAAATATATAGTTTTAAGTATATTGTTATGTAATCTATAAATTAATGTACCTTATTGTTATATTCGAAATTAGTCATTGAGTCCTAAAAGGTCAATTAATTGTTTAAATAAAAAGAATTGGTTAGGTTTTATTTATTCGCATTAAAACCAAAATTCCATCGTATTTTTGTTATATGATGTATAAATAAGTAAATCTTATTATTTTATCTAAAATTTTACTCTTGGATATAGTTAGATGTTTAAACATATATAAATAAAACAAAAATTAAATTAAAAAACTATTTCATCAGATTTTTATTCTTTCATTAAAAAACAAGGAACTCCATCGTATTATTATCAAGTACTATATAAGTTAGTACATATTTAATTATTTCGAATTTAACTCTGGTTCGCGCAACACACAACTTTCACTTATCACTCAACTTTGAATATAAATTATTTTCTGGTTATGTTGAGCTATAAAATGTTTGAATTGCAATTTTAATCGAGCTAAAGCTAAAAGCTTACAGCTAACAAATCATAAATACCATTAAAATAACAAAAGTTCTATTTATTATATCACCGGTTGATTATGGATGGTACGATCCATTTATTATTGTTTGTAAGACTATCAGTTATTAAACTATTATTTTCCATAGCAAAGTTTACTAAAAATGAGTTAAGAGATTTACAGGTCAAAAGTTGTCACACTAATTGGAAGAAGATCCTGAAGATACAAAGGGATTATTCATCAAATTTAATTTTCTAAAAGTTTACATGATGATTTTTCGGAATAAACATACGATAGGTATTATTTAAAAATAATATCAGATCTATAGTTATTAAACTACAGTAAATATATTTAAGGTTATAAACGTATCTATGAAATATTTTTATATTTCACTTCTTCTTTCACACAAGTAAAATGAAATATTGGTGGATACTATTGCAATATCACAAAGGGAATATTCATCAAATTATTCACTAATTTAATTTTCTAAAAAGTTAAATATTTAAATATAATATCAGATCTAGAATTATTAAACTACAGTAAATGAACCTTTCTTTCACTTTTTAAATTTATTAATAAATAAATCAATAGTTCGTGGTACATACCCCTTTTTGTCAAATTATTAACATCCGCCTAATACTTTGTAAATAGCTTCGTCTCATCGTAACCTACCAATATTTTATTTTCAAAAACTCTTGGAATTGTGGCATATTCAATCTGAAGGTCGGTTATTTATACTATTTATACCGTTATTTAATTAGGTACTAAAAACCCATAAATAGCCATTTTATTTCCAGTTTGGTCGATAGATAATTATCAAATTAAGGTAGCCTACAAAAATGCAGGGCCTTTTGGCCTACATAACATCGTTATTTTAACATTTTGGGAGTGTAGGTCACATCAAACAGCTAATTATTTTTGGAAGCAACATTTTTTTTTTATTTTGTGCTCAAATTATCTTACGATTCAAGTAGAAAGCAAATAAGTATTTACGAGTTTTAAGTGCCTAATTAAATACACAAAGTTTGCTGGTCTACAGATTGAAGACGCCTTATTTCCGAGAATTTACATAAATAAAATAGTTGTAGGTTACGATTAGAAGCTATTTACGAAGTTTCCGGTGGATGTTTATAATTTAATAAAAAGGAGCTGTACCACGGACTATAATAAGTATTAAACGTTAAATTATTGATTTCATGTAGAAAAGTAAATAATAATCTTTTTATTTAGAGCTCGATTCCTCCCCACCTTTTTCCCTCTGAATGAGCAGACGTGGTACCTTTATAAAACTTGGATGAAAGCTGTCGCAATAGATTGAAGTACACTAGTCAAGGTTCAAAATTGGAGGAACGCTACACAGGATAGAGCCAACCTGCGGAAACAAGCTATTTGATGTGGCCCAGCCTTAGTAGACAGTAGTTGGAACAAATTATTACTGTTATTGTTTTGAATTTTATTAATTTAGTTTTTGTTTAGTTATGATTTCTATTTAATCGCACACGATTCTTATTCTTAAGCGAGATAGGCTTAAATTTGTTTTCTATTCTATACAGATTTCATTTTGTGATTTTGCAGTTTATTTACTATTCATTGCAGTTTTCATCGAAAAGCTTTTATAACATTTCTGCTGACATCATACATTATCACACTTAAAAGAGTCTGCTTATAAGACAAGAAATGAAAACTTACAACGAAACAATGTGCCAAGTAAAAAAAAATTGAATGATTCGAATTTAAATGTTGGAAAATCAATTCGATAAAAATTGCTCTAACAACATATTTACAGTATGCCATCAATTTTAGTTTAGGTGCAAGTCTTAAAAATGTGGCAAGGTAAAGTAGAAAAATCTGGAGGGATTTCAGATTTTTTCAGAAGGGAGAGAGTGGAAGGAGGCGCAGGTCATCCTTAGTAAAAAACAGTAAAAGATTTTCGTAAAATATAGACTTAAATGATATTTAAATATAAGATAACAATGACTCCTTAAAATAAATATTTGTTCAATGTTTTTATTTTTAGTTAATCTTGATCGCCACCTATATAAACAAAGGTATGAACATATAAAAGTAAATATTCCATCTGTAGAAGTAACGTTGGTGTTACATAATTTGAAATATTTAATTACCTCCATGTTCAGCAACTTTCTGTAACATTTCAGGAGGAACATATTCATGAGGCAGTTCTTGAAAAACTTCCTGGGCACCCTGAGATACATTACCCGACCTACAAGAGTGGTTATTATAGTAATTCACAGTATAAATATAATTTTTTTTTAGCAATTAATTAGATTACTGAAACTTAAAAATTACCCAGTAAAAACAAATGTGAGCGGTCCAATAGATTTAGGTAACATTCCTAAAGCTATTTCATATCCAATATCTCTGACTGATTGGTTGGCCATTGATGAGTTTCTGTAGTTATGGGCAGGACCTATATGCTGTAAAATATTTCACATTATTATTGAGTTATCACAAAACGTTTTTAATAATTCTTTAACACTTGTTGTTATCTTTTCCTAATTTGATTTATGATTCGCTGCTAGGTAATAATAACGCGGTCGCTATCCATTAGATGTCAAAAGACGTAAATAAAGTAATAGATTATTTAATATCAGGAAAGATTTCCTATCCAACTGGTATACAATCTATTCGAGCGAGAAGGCAAGATTTATTTCAAGGTTCCGCCGAAATAAATTTCATACCGCCCTGGTCGGGTCGAATCAGCGCACATAGTTCTAACATATGCCGAAAATTGAGTGTTATTCTTAAGATTATTATTATTTATGTTTTTTTTTTTTTTTTTGTTTTGGTGCAGAATTTGAATTTAATCACTTTGGTCTACGAGGTGTTTGCAATGAAAGATACAAACAAAATATTAACTTTTTCGTAACATGAATTCAATTATTTACACATTATTTTGTTTTAGCTTCATGTCGCTGCTTTATTGCAAAAAGTCATTAAAACGTTTAGTGGAAATGAGTTGGTATATGCCATTCTCATAGAAGATTGATTTATTTTTCAAATCAATTTAACAGCCGATTTTCGTTTTGTTACGTTATAAAAATATAACATTTTATAATTTGTTACCCAATTAAATTTATCAAAATTGTGGAATTTGGGATAAAAAGTTGAGATCTCAAAAGCCACTTCTCAAACATCAAATCTATCTTCAAAAACAATTTAACCCTCTTAAATAGAACGCGCTTTTGTGTCACTGTTTAAACGCGAAAACTAATGAAAAAATAGTGGGGTAGAGGTCTAAAATGTGCTTTTATTATTTTTTTAATTAACAAATTTTGATGTTTGATGTTTTAAAAATATAAATTTATTCATAGTTAGTGTTTTTGTTATATAATTATATTCTTCAGTGTTTTTTATTTTAAATCAACTTTAAAATTGTCAAGAACGAAGGTGTTGTCGAACATCTAACTCCCGCTGTGACATTCTATCATGTGTCTCATCTTCCAACAATTATTCGATCCTTTCGCCCATGAATCCTACTTATTGCCAACATCTCTTAAAAAACGTCCAATATCCTGGATATATTTATCACCTCCCAGATTTCCTCCTCCCAAGCCATTATCAAATCCCTGGATGACCTTTCTTCGGACCATAGTCCAGTTCTGCTTTCACTACACTCAAACTATGCTTTTAAGACATCACCTCCTAAATGGATTACAAGACGAGTAAACTGGGACAAATTTCGTGATAATTTTGAAAATAAAATATACTTAAAGACAAAAGAAAATAATAATGGTGCTATAGAAAAACATACAGCATCAATATCATACAGTGTAAATAGTAACACCTTTATCAGCAAAGTTAACAAATATTAAACAAGTTTTAAATCTACTCCTATTTTTTAAGTTTTTGATTCAAGGTGTAATATTATAGATTGACGACCTCTTCCTTGACTCTGTCGATGTGTAGATTACTGTAGGGCAGGCAAGAGCCAGTGTAGTACGAGTCTTTATGTTTGAATTTAAATTTGTACTATTTGATAATTTCTCAAATTCTCTGTCCCATCAAAATCAGGGCTCCGGGCAAATGCTCATTTCACCCCATTGTAGTAAATCAGGGTCTGTTTTTACCTACATTCATTTTTCCATTATTTCAAGTTTTTATTTATTTAAAACCAATATTATATTATTACGTACATTCTCATTATATTCGATTTTTATACTTCTAGTTTATAGATTATGACATTTTAGTGTTAAAATTTAATCTTTTTTTAATTTTTTTTTTATAATTCTGTACTCCAGAAATAAAGAACACTTAGCAATTTTTATTTTGGCACTTGGCAAAAATTTTTCATTGTTGAATTTTTCAGTTGAGCCAATTTTCCATGAATTTGAGTTATTACAATTTGTTTCTCAGTTACTAAATTATTTAATTAAAAAATGGATATGGTTTCCTTTACCTGCGGGACAAAAAAATTTTGTTTTTTTTTGTCATATTTTTTTTTATTTTTATTTTTTTTTTATGATAATGTTCAAATTTGAAACAAAAATTTTTGTGAAAAAAGTTTTTATGTGAATCGAGCTAGTACATAATGTGCATTATATCTATTTTAATAGAACACGAATACCAACACATTAAAAAGATCATAGGAGTATATAAGAAGTGCAAAAATATTAAAATTGGATATGGAATATAAGTTATGTGGAATATAAGTTAAAATTTCATAATGTAAGCATTATGAAATTTTAACTTATTATACGTAAGTACTTACATCATGAAATTTTAACTTATAATATTCCATATCCAATTTTAATATTTTTGCACTTATTATATACTCCTATTATCTTTTTAATATGTTGGTATTCGCGTTCTATTAAAATAGATATAATGCACATTATGTACTAGCTCGATTCACATAATCCAGCTCATAAAAAATACATGTTTTAACATTTATTTTTTACCTCACTAAACATAAAAACGCTTTTCTGGCAATCTTAAAACTCTTACTAAGCAGCTAATTAATTTGACAAAGTAATAAATTACCAAAATCAGCTCATCAAATATACGATAATTTTGGTTTTAACTATTCTCTTGTGACTCAAAGATGACGAAAGTGCATTACATAAGTATTATATGTATAATATTTATATAACTAAAGGTTGTATAACAGTTGTGAAAAAGGAAAGCCAATAGTCAGGCATTTAGAAGAGACGGCATTGATCATACGATATAACTGTTTTAATGTGTAGTTAAACTACACATCAGTAAGATATGTGAGGAAAAGCCTCTCATGATAGGGCATAAATGGCTGAAATGTCTACATTGTATAAAAAGCTAAAATAAAGACATTTATACCAGTTATTGGTTGCAATGGGATATATCTGTTATTCGTGATTTTATAGTACCTGAAAATAATCCAAAGAATATTTGTCTTTGCATTACAAACTACATAAAAAATTATGTAATGGATAGAAAAATTGGCCAAACTTGAAAATATTTTATATTACTTTTACTGTAATATGTGATAAATAAAAAGGGATTACTTCATTTTATGGAGTTAGTTATCTGTCATGTTTTTCGATAATACTATTGACTTAAGGGTTTTACGGTCGACTGTCGATTTTTATGCTATCGAAGGCATATCTTTTTCAAAATTCTATCCTTTTTAGGTCGTTATTTTCGATATGAGGACATATTTTTAAGGTAATCAAAGGCCTAATTTTGAAAATACTATCGATTTCTGGTACCTTTCCCGATTTTTTCGATATCGAGATCTATTATTATGAAATTGAAGACATCGTTCAGGAAAATACTATCGATTTTAATATTACGCGGTTGCATATTGATTTATTGTATCGTTTCTGATTTATTTGACATAATTATTATCATCTTATTGGATGCATTTTTTTTTAAATATTAATATTTTTTTTAAAATACTCTATAGTATTTCTCGGTTCCACCTTACCAGCCATATTTTTCCTATAGTTTATTATCAAATTCTATTTTAGGTTATATCTAACCATCTTTAATTACAGGTTTCAATGTGAAATGATTACTTCTTTCAAATAAACAAAATTACAGTACTTTAATAATAATAACTAGTATGCCCATGCGAAAAATTCGCACAGCATATTTGTAAGTGATCAAATGCCAAATAAATAAGAAAATAACATAATGCAATTTATCATAAGATAAAGAAATCAATTGTTACTTTATCCATAAATATATGCGACAAAGGAAACAAAAATTAATTTAAAACTTCATTAATGTTTGGAACCAACAATTTTTACATATTTCAATGCTGTATTTTTGCTAAAAATTGTCTGATTTCGATGATTTTTTTTTTTTTTTTTGATTTTGTAGGAAATTCAATAATCTTTTATATAATCATGGGTATAAAGAAGGGAAAAGTGTGTAATTTTTTAGTTATTCGCAAATAAAGTTTCTTTTCTTTCATAACTTGTTTGCCTAAATTTACGGAGTGATTGGACTATTTGCCCGCCTGAAGGAGAAGGAAGCCTTCAAAATTGGTGCCTCAATCTTTGGATTTGGTGAAGAATTAACGATGATGTGGCTTGCCGATCAAAAACACCATCGATAAATAATATAAACTCCTTCTCTCTCGATCATCGGAGCCTCAAGTAGACGAAATAAAATATGTATTCAATGACAGTATTACAATTAAAGTAACGTTCTATGGATGCCAACTCTATGTCTTGCGTTATCTCGAAAATAGTACGTTTTCGGGCTTAAAAACGCAAGGCCGATAGTTCCGAAGATACTATCCGGTTCTTGCTGTACGCATCAAAATCTTCAAAGCTCAATTTGTCCTGTATCGATCTACAGACTTACTACCGTTCCAGCACGGGCGGATCTACGGGGGAGGGCTTTCGGGCTGAAGCCCCCCCAAAATGGTAAAATATAACCATGTTTTATCGAAAAAAATATTCAAAAAGTATCTCTTAAAGTATTATTGTTCGTGTAATTACATTTAAAAGGGCTTTAGGAATCACTTAAACACCATTTCATACAGGTAGTTAGTTTATTTCTTTTATTCCAAAGTAATTATCGTTATTTTTATGAAAAAAACAACTTTCGAGCTGAAGCCCCCCCCCCCAAAATTAAATCCTGGATCCGCTAGTGCGTTCCAGTATTGAAGCCTAGCAAAATGTTTGTATCGACTTTATATATTATAGAAAGAAAACGATTTCGGAACTTACTGTAATAATATATGTGGAGATAATAATAATAATAATGTATTTATTCTGGGACAAGTCTCTTTAGAATAATATACAGAAACAGAAATATGAGTTTCGGAGCCTCAAAGAATTATCACAGAAAATTAAAACGAATAGAAATAATAAAGGAAAAAGTATATGTTGTCTTCTAACTCATCAATTAAAAAAAATAATAATATGAAATAAAAATATTTACAATGACGATAGAATTTATATACGTATTTACAACATCTATTTACAATTTTATGAGAGCTGAACGGATAGGAAATGATTGAATCAGCGAGATTTAAAGGTGGGGAGGGTATTGGAACGACAGAGGCAGGAAGCGATAGAATTCCATAATGACGAGGATTGGATAATGAAAGATCTGCCGAAGGCAGCGGTTCGGTAGGCTCTTATATACAAATCCGAACGGGTTTTACTGGAGTAAATAGAGGGATTTGAATTGAAAGTGTCTGAGATGTATGAAGGACGATGCGATTGGATAACTTGGAAGATGAAGGAAGCTAGGAAGTACTTACGACGGTAGGAAGGATAAAGCCACTTCAGTTCTTCACAAAAACGGGATCCCGAAGATGAATTGTACAAAGCAATTTATCAAACGTTTAAGTTTTGCCTCGAGATCCTCAGAGACGCCCCTATATACCGTGCAGCAATAGTCATAGTGGGGAAATATTAAGGAAATGTTCAAGAGTTTACGGGCTTCAAATGAAAGGTGGCAGAGGTACTTTAGACGTATTAAAATTGACAAGGGAGGATTGAATGGAATGGAGAGGAAATAGAAGTAATTTCGACAAACAAATATTCAATGTGAGGGAAATCATGAGACGGAGACTGTAAACGGATTTTGGTCTTAAAACTATAATGTATATAGAGTCCGACACCCCCTTCCGTGTGATCAGATCTGTCGTGACGAAGGAAAGAGTAATTGGGGAGGGAAATTTGTGAGGAAGGAATAAAATATTTCAGCCAGGTTTCAGATACTGCTATTGTGTGTTACAAATTATCAAGGAAATATTTCTAGAATTCATCATAGTGGTCATTAAGGGAGTGTGCATTGACGTAGCAGGAGTTTAGGATATTATTCATAACTGAGATGTAGAGTTGCAGGGAAAAGGGTCAAGAATGGAGAATAAAATATAACAATTTTTTAACAAAAAAATCATTTTTGACATAGGAGCAGAAAGATATAAAGATGAATTAAATATTGAAAAGAATAAATTAAAATCACAGAAATTCGAGAAAAAAATTTATATACACGATTCCTTTACGATGTAGGAAAATATTGGTATGGCTTTGATTAAAATAAATCAAAAGAAAAAATAAATTGTCAAATAAAATTTCAGAACATTATTACTAAAATGAAAATAAAAATATTAGGTGAGAAAATAAAATTACTACAAACTTTAGAAAACCTAAATACAAAATTCAACTAAAAACGTCGCTAGATTTCCGTGGGAATAGATCCCGGTGGGATAGACCCCCCTACCGTGAACCTCCCCCCCCCCCCCCCCTCCCACATCCCTATAAATCGCATATCGTTGTGTTCCTTGTAACTATTTATTTAAAAAAAGCCAATGTTCCCACAAAATAAAGTTAACGAACTGCCACTGTCTTTATCCCCACTAAACCAGACGTATTTTATTCTTGCTGTCATCTTTGTTTTGTCTAGCTAACAAATAGTAGTGTTGCCCAAATGCGAGACCGAAACGACTCTTGGTCTTGCAAACTCAGTCTTGGTCATGGTCTTGGTCTTGCGCAAGAGTCTCGCAATAGTCTTGCAGTTACTTATTAGCTTATTACTATAAAGATGTTACTGTAATTTTTTAGATAGAAGAAACCTAACTAAGTCCGAATGAAAAATTAGAGGAGTTAAATGCAAAACTATATTGGTTATACCAATTATTAACATATAGTAACTAAAATTTTCAAGTATCAGTAACTATTTTGCCTTAATTTTTATTTTTTTAAATCGATTTTTTTAACCAGTACTGGTCTTTGTCTTGCAATAATTAGGCAGACTTGGTCTTGGTCTTCCAAAATGCAAGACCAAGACCGATTTTGGGCAACACTGACCAATAGAAATGCTTATTTAGAGGAAACATTTTAGAAAATTCAGCATTTAAAACTATTTCAATAAAGATAATACCTGCCTTATGTAAAGTAGTACTTAATTTTCAAAATTTAATAAAAATCATTAAAATAGTTTTAGAGAAAATTATATAACTGATTATGTAAAGTTCAGGATAGTCTATTTTAGCGTAAATGCTGCTGCAACATTCCATTCCTATACCTAACTTAATTACTTAATTTCAGTTGTTTACAACTTTAAGATTTTGAACTATCCTGTTCACACGCGCGCCCGTGCTCTCTCTCTCACACACACACACAAACATACAACACACGCATATACACACACAAAAAGGCATAAACCCACGAATCTACTCATGCTCTCACACATCCACATATACACAGACGGTTTTGCGAAACTTGATTATTTGAACCCAGGGTCTTCAAAACGTTTATTTTCGTTGAAAACTCGGATATGAATTTGTTCACAAACACAATACTTTATCTTAGAATGTACTTCATATTTAGGTAAGTGAAAGAAAATCATTGAAAACCATGAAATAATTTTTGTTAACTAAAAATTAAGTAATGATTTCCAATTTACATAAGATTTTAAGATGCGGTGGGTGTAATATACTTGAATATCAAGTTATCGAATCTGTTGTAGCTAAGGTATAATAAAGCTAATATGAACAAATTGTGATTCGTGTTATAAAACAACTATAATAAGTAATTCACTAAAACCATTCGTTTGAAATAAACAACTATGGTAGTAAGCAATATGAAATATTTATTAACTTACCATAAAAGGGGTATGGTGGCCAAGAGCAAGAAGCCTTAAACCAAGTCCGTGAAATATATTTAACATTCCAGCAACTCCTGCCCATTTTCCAAACGCTACTACTCGTTGTCCAACTTCGTCAACCAATTTTTCATAGTCTATCAATCTAATATTCTACTACAGAAATATAGTGCAATTATCAAGATAATATTTTTTAAAAAAGTGAATTTTTTTATCATGAATTCATTTACCTTCTCCAGCATAGCATCAAGCATTGGCATATTGGATTCTTGAGCTTTAATGGTGTGTGAAAACATACAATAAGTTTTGTCAGGCAAAAGTAAATCTACAGGAACTTGTTTTATACCAAATATTACTGATGCTTCAGAAATATCTTCTTGAATGATAGCCCCTGCTTTTAAATAAGCCTGAAATAAAATTCAATTTTATTTTCCATTATAGCATAATTTATTTTTTATATTTTATTTTTTTATTTTTTTTTTTTTTATTTCAATGGAATTTACAACTGTATTACATAGAGAATACAATAAGTAAATGAGAAATTTGTAACATGGCATGTACAACATGAAGAGAAACTACCCATTGGTAGAACTCAAATTAAAGTTCTATATTAGAAGATCCCGAGGCCATCTTCTTTTCAGACGTCTCGGAGGGTTATCAGGGATCGAGGAGGAAGCAAGGTTTGAAACGAGAGGATTCGGATGATTCTGCAGTTTGTTATGGAAGGAAAGATATCTGGATTGGGCCAGATCGGAAACATATGGAACATTAAGGTCTTTATGGATGATTTTATTTGTGACAAAGTAAGGAGCGTTGAGGATTTTACGAAGGATTTTGGATTGTAAGGATTGGATACGAGAGGAATTCGATGGTTTAGTGGAGCCCCAAAGCTCAATTCCATATTTTATTTTAATTAGTTACATGCAATTTTATATACTAGCAGGTCTGTGTGAAAAAAAAATCGCACAGTATATTATATTGTTCAGTGATCAAATGACAAATTAATAAGAAAAGAAAATAATACAACGTATCATAAGATAGAGAAATCGATTGCTACTTTCTCGCTAAATATAATCTACAAAGGAAACAAAAAATAATTTAAAACTTTATTAATGTTTGGAACCAATATGTTTTCAAATTTCAATAAGCGGTATTTTTTCTAAAAATTTTCTAATTTCGTTGATTTTTTTTTTTATCCTATTGTAGTGAATTTAGTAATTATTTACTAAATTTTTGGATTCTGAGCTCATAATTTTTTTTAACCTCCCGCACGAATACAAAGCTTCCCTACCTTGGTAGCGAGGAAGCAATAACGGTTATATGTAGTAATATCGACAGTATTTATAAATATATGTTTAAAATTAAAATTAAAGATCATTTTATGTTATTCTATTAATCATTAAATTGGCAAATTTAAAAATTCTCAGGTTTAAACAAAGGAACCGGGATATTTTTTGTTTTTCGTTGACATTTTCTAATTTTGACGTCATATTCGTCTTCCTTGTTCTTGAAAAAAGAAGTGTACTATATATCAAGTTAGTCCGACAACATTTACGAGTTCTAGTCCAAGCCAGTTCTAGGCCTGTGCGTTGGGGGATGACGCCCGGCGGTGAACACCTCTTTTGATTAGCCAGGCAGAAAAACATTTTTGCAAAACTTAAATATATCTGGTTTAGTGGAGGTAGAATGCACTGCAGACAGTCAGATGGATAACCGGTGGTAATTACCGATAAACCTATTGACATGGACGTGTTCAGTCGAACGGTCTCTACAAGTTACCGTAAGTTTGTAATAAATTGATTTCTTCTCACCAAAAACATTTTATTTTTTATCTTTATTTAGGCACAGATGAGCTAGAATTTGATTTGATTCTTAGCCTCTCTCTATTCTTTTATTTAAATCAAAGCAGTCTTTATATTTTTTTCATGGCAGTCTGAATATTTATTTCGATATAGTGCTCGCCAAGTGGACGAAATTCGAATGTAATCATCATTGAACATTTCAGGAAAATATAAATAAATTTGTATGTTTCCAACATATTATTTTTTCTACTCTTATATATTCTTACGTTCACAATTTGTGTACTTTTTGATTTATTTAATTCATCGTAACATTAAAAATATATACATATTTGAACCCACTTTACTCACTCGGTGAAAATTTGAGAAAACATTTTTTTCTTTTCGATTGGTATATAAATTCGTATTTGAGAGTTTTTTTAAGGTGCGAAATACAAATATAGGTGCGTCAATGAATGTTCGAAATGGGGATATAGAAGGCAATGACGGGGACACAATTTTCGACTTTGGTACATTGTTTGGACTAGTAAGGAGGTAAACATACTGAAAGTTCCCACTCCTATATGCCAGATGTGGGAGTCTCCTAGAAGGTCACTTTTTAAAGGTTTTTGCTTACACCAGGAAAATTATCCATCGCATTGACAAAGACATTCCGTACAAAACTAAAGTTGATAAAATTTGCAATATGATTGACATTTTTCGCTACCTCGCTTAGTTTCCGAGATATCCCTCCTCAACTATCGCTAATTAGGCTACACAACATTTTTATCTCATGTTTTTTACTGTATTTGTACATTCCTAACTTAATGTATGGTAATAAACTTTTTTTAAAAAATCAACCCAATATATTCCGGAAATTATAGTAGTTTTACTGATATGTATGATTTTTTTTTATGTAGGATATGCTTAAAATATAAATTTAATATTTCTTATAGATTGAATAGTTTGATTTTGGAAAATACCATTCTCAAGGGTACTCCTTGATGATAGTGAGTACTTTAGATAGTTTTCCATTAAAAATTAATAAATTCCTAGTGGTATATACGACAAAATATTTATATAAACAATTGCTGAAATAATAGTTCACTAATATGATACAGATGGTAAGCCCAAGCTTGAATAAAGTACATTATACTTGAATTAAAAATAAGTTTACTTCGCTGTAGGTCAGAAAAAATCATTATTTCTTAATAATACTATAAAGGGCGCAACAAACATTTACCTGCGTGGGATATGCCCTCCTGTTAGCTGGTTGGACGATAACCTTGACCCCTGCTCTTGTAAGTTTCCTCACGTGTAAAGGTGCCAAAGCTGCTCTTCTTTCCCATACTGATTGGTCTTCTCTTCTTATTGCTATTACTTTGCCACGCTAGGTAATAATAAAGTCGTTTTAAAAAAAATATTTAAGCTTAACTCACTATCGAAGATAAAAGACATTTCTTTAAAATCTTAAAATACTTACAAATTTTGTGCTATTCATAAAAAGTTTATTTCCTATTCCAGGTTTCATGTTAAAAATGTATGTTATAGCACAGTTATAAGACCACTATATACTGAATGAATGTATACACTATTATCCATGCCCTTCCGACCTTAGATAAGAACGCCAGATATGAGAAGCAGTATTAGATGATGATTTCAAAGATGGGTTTAATAATTTAACTAAGAACAGGCCTTTACTATAGTTGGTTAGGATTTTAATATCATTTCTTATATTTAACAAACACAGAAAAAAAATGTAAAGTAAAGTAAGGTACAGAGAAAAGAAAGAAATAATAAACACATGTGATCCTTTACTCCTCCTTAACATCCAACGTTTCAGCCCTTTAGACCATTTTCACGATAAGAAACCTTACGTTATAATACGAAAGTAAAAGCATTTGGACCAATTTGTAGTTGTCTTATTCTTTTATGCAATGCTCGTATATAAAATGTTCAATAGGTCTGAAACATTTGGTGTAAAGAAAACAAAGTAGGGATAAAGGATCACATGTGTTCATATATAATTAGAGAAATAAAAATCTGGTGCGCGCAACACACATCTTTCACTCACTACTTTGAATAGAAATTATTTTCTGGACATGTTGAGCTATTATAAAATTTTTGAAGTGCATTTTTAACGGAGCTACAGCTTAAAGCTTGCAGCTAACAAATCATTATAATAACTAAAACCCCATTAATTATATCAACGGCAGGCAATAAAAACCTAGTTACTCCATCTGTTTAAGTAAACCACACAATTCCAGTCTCTGACTTATATATATGTATATATGCCTAGAGAGATTTGAATGTACATCTGTATATTCAACATATAAATGATTATGGATTGTACGTCTATTTGTTATTTTTATTTTATTGAATATTATTGAAAAATATTACAATCTGTCTCAAAGGACATTTATAATAGTGTTCATTTGTTATTAAACTGTTATTTTTCATTGCAAAGTTTACTAAAATGAAATTACGAGATTTTTATTGCCTGCCAAAGATAGATAAAAGGTGATGACGATTTTTTGGAATAACGGATTACTAATTATTTAAATATAATATCAGATCTAGAATTATTAAACTACAGTAAATGCATTTAAGGCTATAAACATATGCTTTATACATCCATGAAATATTTTTATATATCACTTCTTCTTTCACACAAATACTATGAAATAGTTTTTTAGGCAATGTCATTGCCTTGATTATGTGGATTTTAAATACTGTTTATTTACTTTTCCAGCTATACTAGATAAGGAAAGTATTGTGATCGGAAGTATTGTGACGTTTCAGAGCCTCCTGAGTCCGAAAAACACGTTTTTAGCCACTGCTCTGTCTGTCTGTGCCAAGCTTTCCTCGGGAATTAGTGGACCGATTTTGTTTCTCCTTTTTTATTTTGTGGTGTTTTGACTACTGATGCCTTTGACACAAATTGAGTGCTCCATGCGGAATAGCTTCTGCGTAATAAATGAGAAACATGTTTTTCTGTAGACTGTCGCGCGAAAACTAGCTTTATATTATTTAAAGAAAATGGGATATTTTTTGTTTTTCGTTGACATTTGTGTTCCTTGTTCTTGAAAACATAAGTGCACTGTATATCAAGTTAATCCGACGACATTTACGAGTTCTACTCCATTGTCCACGAATTTGTCATCTTTTGTGGATCAGCTGATGCGAAGGTTGTGTTCTCAAATCGTCTCTCAGTTGTTGGCTATTTTTCAGCGGAATCTCTGATTATTCACTGAATACAGTCGAAGTGTACATCAGAGCAGTTGATATTGACTGTTTGATATATATATATATTTTTAATTTTTAACTTTTTTTGTTTTATTTATTTTTTCCTTTTCTTCTCTTATAATATGCGGCATTGTCACCAAGTGATATCCAGTAAGGTGCCCACTAAGAGGACTCGGTCAGACGGCGTTAGTATCCTTCGTGATTCACCAGTCAAACAAAGAACTCGCCGCTGCCTGCGAGAAATCTCTGCAATAACCACGGCGAACACTCCAGATCCAAAACCTCAGTCTCAACCAGGTACCTCTTCGCAAGAAATGGTTGAAGATTCTCCTTTCTTCACTCTAAACCGGTTCCAAGTGCTTCATAATGACAGAGAAGTAATGGAGTCAGCAGCAATACTCAGGGAACCAAGGCCTCCTCCGATATTTGTAAAAAATATCAATAATTTCCAGCTATTGTGTACACAACTAAACGAAATCTGCTCCGGCAGTTATTCTTGCCACAACAGGGCCAAATAATAACAGATACTGCAGAAATCTACCGAAAAGTTGTGGAGTGCCTATCAGAAACGAATGCAAATTTCCATACGTACCAGCTGAGACAGGAGAGATCGCTACGAGTAGTGGTAAGAAATTTGCACTCCTCAACCCCAACTGAATTGATAAAAGAAGAACCTACGTTCTGATGGAGTATAAGGAGCAGCCTGGAGTAAAAGATAAAGTTCCACTACCTTTATTTTTCGTGGATCTAGAACCATCACTTGGTATTGAGAAAATATACGAAATCAAGAGATTGTACTACACTATCGTGAAGATAGAGAAGCCGTAACCCAAGAAGGAAATCGTGCAGTGCCACAATTGCCAGCTGTATGGCCACACGAAGAACCTCAAATCCAGATACCAGAAGAACCAGATTCAAGATGATACAACCAGACCAACAAAGAGAACCTTCTAGAATTGTTAATAAAAATTTATCATACTCCGAACTACTTGGAGGTAAGAACCCAAATAATAAATGTGAAACCCTGCCACAGCAAATACGTCAGTCCCAACCTCAATATTTTGTTCATCCTAACATACTTAACCATCAACAACCTCAAATTCCTCCTTCAAATGCAACAGATCTCACCAGTTTGTTAGCATCTTTCTTCACCACCGATTTCAAATCCCTAGTTACTCCACTCATATCACTCCTCACAAATCTCTTATCTCACCTCATCCCTCCTTTTATAATCCTTAATGATTCACATCCCAAAACCCATATCCATTCTCCTTTGGAATGCGAATGGTGTTAGAAATCACCTTGACGAACTAACTGCTTTACCACAAGACAAGAACATTGACGTAGCCCTATTTACAGAAACTCGACTGATCATAAAACAGCATTTAAAAATTCCACAGTGCATAACATACCGTACTGACCATCCTGACGGTAAAGCACATGCCGGTACTGCTGTCATCGTACACCAATTCCTCTCTCATCATTTACTCCTATTAACTACTCAAGATTTCCTATAATCAACCGCTATTGTAATCAAAACCTTCTCCTTTCCAGTCACCCTTGCATCAGCACACTGCCCTCCTAACAGATCCATATCCAAAGTTCAGTTCATTTCTCTCTTCAACTCCTTAGGTCATCATTTCATCCTGGGTGCAGACTTAAATGCCAAGCATCAAGTATGGGGTTCAAGAATCACGAATTCTCGTATGGCAGAACATTTCTGTCTGCACTCTATACCCAACGTTTCAGTCTCCTTCCACCCAACTCACCAATCTACTGGCCCACTGATCCTAACCGCAATCCTAATGTCCTTGATTTTTTCATCCACAGTGGTTTACGTCCTCTCAATCATTCCCTTACCCGTCTTGACGAACTTTCCTCAGATCATAGTCCATTAATACTTCAATTATCAATAGCTCCTATTCTTAAATTCCCTTCATCGTCATTCGTCAGAGGCCCAGTTAACTGGAAACTCTTTCATCAAATCTTTTCCGATAAAATTGACCTCAGAATAACCTTGAAAACCCCGAAAGATCACGATAATTCCGCACATTCCTTTACCACCACTATTGAGCAAGCAATCTGGACTGTTTCCTCTTCAAATCTCTCCTCGAAAATTCCTAAGAAAAATAATTCCGGTATCTTGGCTTTATCTTAGACCGAAGACTTACGCGGAATCCACATACTAGACTTAAAAGACAAGAACTTAACCGACGATACGGTCAATTATACAGACCACTGACCAGAAAATCTCAACTTTCAATTGACAATAAATTACTAATCTACAAGACAATCCTGAAACCTATTTGGATCTACGGACTTGAACTTTGGGGGACAGCAAAATTTTCTAACATCAAACGCATCCAATCCTTTCAGTCCAAAGTCCTCCGAAAAATAGTATATGCTCCGTTCCATGTAACCAACAAAACACTTCATCATGACCTTAGTATCCCATTTGTCCTCGACCTTATCCCTAAAAAATTTTGCAAATTCCATCAGAACCTTATAAATCATCCAAATCCCCTAGCGCAATCCCTATCTAGTTCCATTCATCCCTACAATCCTCCTCGAAGGTTGAAGCAGCAGTGTCCCAGAATAAATCTCCACTCAAGACAAGTGTTTATATGGCTAAAGCGCTCTCGCTCAAACTCCAATGGCTTTAGCACCAGTGACGCGGTTAAGAGAGTAGCGCAAGGATCTCTTGTAGTCTTGCTTTTCCTTCTATAGTTGGATGGAGAAGCCTGGCTTGGGGTTCCCTGCCTAATTGTATACATTGTATATAGGTATGACTGTGTTTTTATGTTTTTTTAATTTACCTATCTTTAGGTTATTTTTTTTTATTGTACATACTTTTTGATTATTATTTTACTTTTGTTAATTTTATATTTTCTATATATATGGTATAAATGTGTTCCTATATCACTATAACTATTGTCCACGTAACAGATTGTTATATTTTTAAATAAATAAATAAAAAATAATATTATTAATTTATTTATTTACATCAAAGCAGTCTTTATATTTTTTTAATGGCAAAAATTAATCTAGTTTGAATATTTATTTAGAACTAGTGCTCGCCAAGTAGTCGAAATTCGACTATAATCATCATTGAACATTTCAGGAAAACATTTAGAACTATATAAAAATCGTTCATTTCGGACAACTATTAACGAAGTTACAGCTATTCAATTTCCAATGTAAGATTAGGGGTACATATGCTGGAGTCAGACATGAATGAATGATAGAAAAATGATAACTTAGTGGAAGTAAGAAAATTTGTTTGTG